TATGCCTTTGTAATTAAATAGCATCTGACCTTAATGCACTTACAATTAGATAAGTATTTTGAAAATATGTTAGTTTACTATGTTTTAGCATGATACTCAAATCCAGAAAACAAGATATTAATTATTCCACATGCTTAAAGGTCATTGTTCAATGATATCAGTACTAAATATGAAGTGAATATCTGTAATGTACTACTATATTAGTATATGGTAATTACATCTTGTAATACTAATATATCTTTTAAGACACTAATGAGCTTTCTCAAACCTAGTCTTCCTGAAGAGACCTACCTGATTTTTTTTAACTGAGATACATTTCTCTAGATGATTCTTTTTTCTTTTTCTGATGCCAAAGATCAAACCTTCTAAGCACGTGCTATACCACTGGGCCATAACAACCTGCCCTCTGTAGGTGACTATCCCAAACATAAAACTGAAGTTGCTATATGTGACAAGCATTACAACAGGCAGAATTCACCTGCTTTATTTTGTAAAGGCTCAAAGCAAAGTATATTCCCAAGTCTTGTGAGTGTGGTGTGAGTAGATCTTTGTTGTGTTTTAGAGATAAGAAGGAATCTAAAGATATCGTTTCCTAGTTCCTCTTCTGCAGATAAAGCAATTGGGGACCATGGGTATTACATAATTTTCTGTAAACCATATAGCTGCTTTATCACAGAGAAGAAATCAGAAAGTCGACTTCCTGGCAGCAGTGATGGTAGTGTTAGTTCTACTGCCTTCCAAGAGGCAGACCTCTCTCTTCTCTCGGTGACTCAGAGTAACACAGAGAACATTTTCCTTTTGTCTTTAGAAATTGACCATCACTGATAGAAGTGTGTGTGTGTGTGTGTGTGTGTGTGTGTGTGTGTGTGTGTGTGTGGTCCCCAATGTATAATGGCTATCTTTGTTTCTGAGCTTTAACTTCAACCTTCTAGGAAACAACTGCCCAACTTCCCTGTCCTCCTTTGATTCTACACTCACAGGACTGGTAATTTAGTTCCCTGGAAGAACACTTGCCTAGCATGTACCAGGCCCTAGGTTCTGTCCTTATCACATCTTTAAAATAAATTCTAAAAAAATTACTAAACTAAAAGCACCAATCCCTAACAACTAAAAAAAGCTATAAGACCAAGAGATTAACTAGATGTTGGGGTTTGGTGCTTCATCTTTATTTGCTGGGGGAGCAGTGGCTGCCAATCAGACCTAGAACATACAGAAAGCACAGCTGCACACTGCTTCATCCCCAACAATAAAAGCCATGATAAGAAGCATGAGCTTGCACAGGTGCCTTGCTAAACCCTGTTTGTACCTTCGTAAAATACTCACCTGATGTGGGTGTAGCTGAGATTACCTGGACTCCAAATAAATAAATGCAACCAGCATTCTCCTCTTTAAAAAACAAAATTCCAGGTATGGGAACACACACCTATAATCTCAGCACCTGGGAGGTAGAGGTGGGAGAATCAGATGTTCAAGTTCATCCTCAGCTACATAGCAAGTTCAAGGTTAGCCTGAGCTATATGAATCTCTTGTACAAAGAAAAAAATAAAATGTTTCTCTACTTCAGATCTGTCATATGCAAATTTAGTACCACCAAACAGGACCTAGTCTCTTCCTTTGCCAAGCCCCTAATGTATAAAAATGATAAATCCACCTGTAGATCAAGTTATGTCTAACTTGCAAAAACATTATTTAACAATACAATTTGTTCATAAGATTTAGCCTTTTTGAGAACTTCAACTTATGAAAATATGCATGTGTTCAAATTCTAGCAAGGCACGACCTTAATGTATCCTAATTAGAGTGATTTTGGAAGGTTTTGGCTATTTTTGTTAGTGAAGGAAAGCAGAACTTTCAGGGTAATAAGTGACTACTTAACTATTTAAATTAGCTGTTGTGTTGCCCACTAGGAAAGATAAATGCATCTTTAGTCATGTTAATGTCCAGGAATGTTTATAGTTCCTTGTCTATAAAATTGTAATCATAGGAGGGGCTGGAGAAATAGCTCAATGGTTAAGAGCACTTACTGCTCTTGCAGAGGACCCAGGTTTGACTCCCAGCACCTACATGGTGGCTCACAAGGGTCAGTAACTTTCATTCCAAGGGATTCTATGCCATCCTCTGGCATCATAGGCATTTCACACACATGGTGCAAAGATATATGTGCAAGCAAAATACTTACACACATTAAAAAGTAAATCTTTATTTAAATACTATACAAGCAGCATGCATACATATATACACACTAAACAAATGTTTTTTTTTTTTTTAATTAACCAGAGCTTAGGACAGTATCTAATATGAGAGTCACCTAATAATTTTTATCAGGTAAAATGATAGTGTGGGGTGGTCTGTGAAACAGTTGATGATTCTACCAACTTCTGTGTCACTATATAATAGCTCTGATTTTTTTTCCAAATTTTACTTTGCAACAAAAGTAAAGCCTACTTAGAAAGCTTTTTGAAACCCCAAGATATATATGTATGTATGTGTGTATCATATATGCATATATACATACATACATACATATCTAAAAACTATTTGGATATAAGGATGGCTTATTAGAATGTTCCATGGAAGACATGTCATTTTAGAATGTTCCCAAGTGGTTCTCATATGCTCTGCCCCCTTTTCTTCTACATTGCTCAAAAAACAACAAAGAAAATGATTAGTTCTGTGTAAGAGAGGTGGTGGTTAAGAATGGCTTTGCAGGGCACTATAAAAGGATCTTCTACATGGTTGTTAAATTATTGTTTTGCATATATTAATTAATGGGTCTAATGTTGCATTTGCATATATGTATATCATATTTACCTCCATTACCTTTTCTTGTCCCTTTCCTCTTCCAAACTAGCTAGTCCCCTTCTTCTTCCATGTTATTATCATCATTGTCCTTCTTTCTCTTTTTCTTCCTATTCTCCCTCTCCCTCTCTCTCTCCTGGCTCCTCCTTTTATTTTGTGACCTAGTGAGTTTACTTAGGATCACTTACAGAAGCATGTGTGAGGGGTTACTTACAGGAGCTTGGGCAACTTACCAGTGTCAACACTATGAAGAAAATGCCTTTGCCTCTACCAGCAACCATAGCTACCAATACTCAGGGAAGGATGGGGCCTTGTTGAGCGCTGTGAACATGTGTTTTATTCATTTTATTTCAAAATGCTCTGTAAGTGCTAAGTGCTGTGTGTAATAAACAAGACTCCTGTTTTCATGGAGACTTCAGACTGGAGGAAAAAAAGAAAGTATCATTGCCAACTACTATGGCCAGAGTTATAAAAAGAGAGTAGTGTCAAGATCATAGACTGAGGTAGCCCAGTGGATCTGGGGACCAGGTGGGAAGGCCCCTCAGTAAGCTGACATTCCTTATCCCAGTGCAGCAAAAAGGGAAGAGAATAATGGGGGGAGCAATTGTTTAAAGATTTCCTTTTGAAGGGTCATGTGCAAAGGTTATATTTATCAAAAGTATCTAAACATATTCTGATTTAAAGTAAACTAGAGGCAAGCATCTCTACTGAGTGCAGTAGTTTTATCAGTGATAAAGTGCAGGGTCAACTGAGATGAGTTTACACATATGAGACTCAGGGGTACAAATCAATCTTCTCTCTAAAACAAAATTGAGCTGAGTATGGTAGTGACCAAGGATGCTAGTTCAGGGAGTTTCAAGTTCCGAGCCACACTGTGCTATGCAGCAAGACCTAGTCTTAAGAATATAATATAAAATACAATAAAAATAATAAGAGCTGAGCTGTAGCTCAGTAGTAGAACACGTGTTCGGCATGCACGAGGCCCAAGAAAGTATGAAAAGAGTGCCAGCTCCCCTAGAACTTGAGTTATAGATGGTTGTAAGCCACCAAATGGATGCTGGGAATCAAACCAGGGCCTCTACAAGAGCAATATGTTCTCTTCACCACTAAGCCAAGTCTCTAGCACCCCCATTTTAAATTTATTTTTTATAACTATTTTTAAAACAACAATGAAGAATGACCCCAAAGAAAAATATTACTCAAAATGACATTTTTACAAATGATACCAGAAGGAAAGCAGGAAAATTTATTCAAGTTGAAAACCTATAAACAGATTGCTATTAATTTTATTTCCTGGGAATGAGATGTAGGCCTTACACGTGCCAGGCAAGTGTTCTGTCCCCAAACAACAACTCACACATATTAATTCTCACCTTGGGCTCTATGGTCTCTCTTCAATCTTTCTTTTGCTTTCACACTTCCTCACCCCTTGAGAAGACAAGGATAAAGGTGTTGTCTTTCTGATGAACCTCAGTAAGGGGTGATTCTGCAGAGTTAGAGATAAATCCAACTCCATCCATTCAATGTCCAAGTTCCCTGATCTACTAGATAGAATAAAGTGCCATCCTTTCTTCACAGAAGGAACAAGCAAATCACACAAAATGCCCGAGACAGAGCCTGTGCTTGTACAAATGGAACTTCATAGATCCTTACTTAATTCATTAGACATGTAGATCCTTCTACCTGACCTTTTGTGAAGTGCAGAAGTTACCAAGATAAATAAGGCAATGACCCTGTCTTCGGGACATTGTTCTATAGAGGGACAAGAGGCATATAAAGTCATAATTATAATGCAGTGTGAGTACTTCAATCATTGAAGTGCTGAGGGTGGGTGAAATACTGGGAAGAGATAATTAGCTGTACTTGAAAGCCTTGGTTCTTAAGGATGGATAGGAATTATCTCTCAATTACTTCATGTTTGAATGATTATGTATCCCTATTTGCTAAACAGATTCTCCCAATTTCCTAACAGGATCATATGTTGCCTTTTGAAACTGAAGAAGTAAATAATTCAGTTTTCATTTTTCTGGGCTACTGTTGTGAAATAAAAACACGAACAAAGTGGTAGACAGAAAGCAGAATCAGCGCGGGGTGGGGAAAGGAGGGGCTCGCACACTGTGGGAACCAAGGCTGAGGAGAGAACAATGCAGAGCCATAGTAATGATCCAATGATTCATCCTGTCATTCCTCTTCCTCTGTAGCCATCAGGTTTGGGCGGATGCCACAGGCCGAGAAGGAGAAGCTGTTGGCGGAGATCTCCAGTGATATCGACCAGCTGAACCCGGAGTCTGCTGATCTCCGGGCCCTGGCGAAGCATTTGTATGACTCATACATAAAGTCCTTCCCGCTGACCAAAGCCAAGGCGAGGGCGATCTTGACAGGAAAGACAACAGACAAATCAGTTAGTTCTCTTCTGCTCTCTTTATGGGGGTGGCTGGAGCCGGGGGTACTTTCTTTGACTAAATGATTTGCCTCAGTACGCATGCGTATGCAGACTATAGCTCAGCTATGGACTGTTAAAACACTGTGTCAGGCCGGGTCCAAAACACAGGAAATATCTTCAAATAGGATAAGTAAACATTGTTCTGAAAAAAAGTACAACTCCTCCAAGATGTAATTTAAAAAAAAAAAAAAAAAAAGCCTTTGAGAGTAATACAAGAACTCACAGGTTATCTCAATACTCATGAATGAATGATGAAGACCTCATGCCCCTACCCTCTTTCTAGACCCATCTCTTTATTGAGCATCAAAATAACTGGTGAGAAGACAGTGTCTCAGCAGCCATGGAGAAGGCTGAGCAGGTGTAGAAGCTGTTGGATCCTACTTTTACCTGTCAAGGTTTCCAGAGTCATTTATCCCAAGTTGAAAGTTGGCACAAAAGTCCATCCAGGATATTATGAGACCTATGTCCTTACAGTACTGAGCTTTATTTCTGGGAAATTGGAGACTTTATCCTTTTATTATATATGCGATCCTACTCTCTATAAGGATCTAAGCTGCCTAAGCTATTCCAATGGAATATTTTATTATTTTATTTTTATTATTATGAGGGTAGTGCTAAATATGGATTAAATCCCAGGCCTCAAGCATGCAGGTACACGTGTGCTAGAGCTGAGTTACATGCCCAAGCCTTGAAAAGATCCTTAAATGCCTGTTGAGTGACATTGTTTAGAAAATTCATAATAGTTGAAAATTATTGTAGAGTCCAATTTTCTAGGAAGCAGAAAGCTTCCAACATGAAGCTGAAAATCAACACCAAATTGCATTAAAATGAAACCTGCATGCTGCTTCCCATTCCACTGTCAGCAGGGAGCACAACTGGGTCGAGCCTCTGTCCCTCAGTTTTTACAGACAGGGTCTGGCTTTGATGATATGGTCTACAGAATGTCCCTAGGCAGTAAGAGCTGCAGGTGTCATGCAGAAGACCTGGATCCAGATCTTGAGAACTTTGTATATGGTCATTTACTTCCAAGTGAACATGCCCAGGAGACTGAGTCAACTATTAGATAGATGCATGCAACTTGATACACATTCAGATTTTAGGGGAAAAAACATATTTTGACTACTATCTCAGGTTATTTTTTTTCTTTTTAATTAAATGACTTAGTAGTCAGCTAATGACTGTGAGAAAGAGCCACATGCCAGTAAGAACAGTTGAGTTTCAGATACACAAGGGCCCAGGCCCTACAATTCCCAAGTATTTTATACATTCTTTACATTCCAGCCACAGGGCCATCTGAAGGCTGCTGTTGTTTATTACTATCTTCATTTAAGGAGAAGGAACTGAAGTGAAGAGGCATGTGCATGTAGACATCTGAAGGCTATGATGTAAGCTTTCCGACTTGTAGTTGGGAGCATTCTCGGCATGCAATTCCCAGGACCACACATACTATAGTACAGTCTGTCCATTAAGTATAAAAGGCAGCCACAGCAAGTGAAACATGAATGAAGACCTGTACACAGCTAACCTGACTACAGAAAATAAGCTTACTTCATTCCCAGGTAGAAAATAAAGGAAGACTGCAGCTGCATGACTAAAGAGAGCAAACACTTGAAGGCAAATTGCAACAGCTTGCCAAGAGCAGGTGCAGGAAAGAGGGCTAGAGTCTGGGATCTCAGAACTAGGCTCTGGGGAAGGGGTTGCTGAAAGGCAAGGAGTCCCATAATAGTCAGTTCAGTTTTACCTACAGCCATTCATTTTGCAGGTTCTGGGCTCTTATCACCTTACCTCCAGTGCACACCTGAAATCCATGCTTGGAAATCCTACCATTTTAATTTTAATACTGCTTAAAAGCTAGGTGGGAGGGGGGGAGATAAGAGAGAGAGTGCAAACCAGCCCACCCTAATAGGAAAGAATTTAAATTTATATAATGGGTAGCCAATGTAGTTCTATCTTTGTTCTGAAGGACACAGAGCCCAAACCACTAGAAATCACTTGGAAACCTCATCCCAACTGACTTTTTTGGCTCTGAATCTTTGAGTTAAAAATAAGATAATTGGAGGCCCTTTGTGAAACAAATAGCTATTAAGCTATTTAAGGAAGGGGCTACAAAAGCTTGATTATAGACTTCTCAATTCAGAGGCCAAGGGTTGTCATTTTTCCCTATAGTAAGTAGGCTTGTGCTTTGCCCGTAATAGTTACTCAGACTATTTGTTTAATTGAGTTAAAGACTGTGGCTATGCCCTTTGAAATTATGGACTTTCAACAGAGGGTTTTTTCACTAACCCAATATTTGTTCATCAAACTAGACATCATTAGTGATTGGATAGTGATAGAATTGCCTCAAGTTAGAGTCTAGAAAAAAAAAAAAAAAAAAGAGGCCCAACCAAATATAAACAACCCATTCACTGATTATACAGAACTAAAATCAAATTGTTTGGCACTGTTTTCTCCTTATCTGGTGAAATCAAACTAAGCACCAATGGAAAGAAATAGTTCAGTAGAGAATATGGAAGGGAAACCCAAAATGTGATTTGCAGTGAGATTTGTTCTTTATCAGCATGGTCCTATTATTCATTTGATAGCATCTATCTCAGGGGTGTTATGTTATCTCTTGGCCAGGACTGTGAAAGCTAAGATTTGCATTGATAGGGAAAGTTTTGCTGAAGTGTGGCCTCTCGAGATGATGGGGGATGTGAGAAAGTGGCTGAGGCCATGAGGAGAGCAGCTTAGGTCTCATTATACACACGCTTGCAGCTGATGTCATTGCATCAGTTACGCCAAGCCTGGGGGAGGCTGCTCAGTGTAGTGGATGACCAATTACCCAGAACCCTTGCTAAAGGAAATGATCGGACTGAAGGGGCCATTCTTTACGATTATCTCACTGCTCAATTTAACCATAGCCTGTTAGGAACCCACCAGCCCTCTCAGTCTTTGCCTCCAGGCCAGCAGAGGCCACTCCCCCTCCTCAGCTACACTTCCTCCTTCTATATCTTATCTCCTTGGGCCACTCGCACCTTTCAAAACAGATAAATTAAGTATTCCTGCTCTCCTCCTATCAACTTTAACATCATATCTTTGGGATGATACCAATAATTTTCATCATCTTGCCTCCAAGAATACTGGTTGGGTATTCTAGGCTCAAGGGGATGTGGGCTACAGAATCACTAAAGAAATCTTAGGAGCACTATGCCTTTTCACCACCCTCGAACCTGCTTTTCTCCCAGTGGTCTGCTTCAGCCACAGCTCCTCCCTCCCTTGCTGAAGAAATCCTACAAATCTCTGAAGCCCATACTGTGCTGGAAGGCAGTTTGATTACTGAATGGACTTTGAAAGTTCGGATGTTTGACTATCACGTTGGTGCAGTGCAGTGGTCACATGATCCCATGTTTGTTGATGAAAATAAACTGAGTGGTTTTCAAAAACCATTCTCAGTGCCATGGCTTGTCATAAAACAATAAATAGAAAAACCCTGGGTATGCCTGCCAGCTCTTCACTACATATCTAAGAGTGATGTCTGGTGAAGCCCTGCCTTGTTTTCTATCTACAAATAGGAAATAAAACTTTTTATTTGTACTCTTTTGGACTTTGGGTTCCCAGGCATTGTGTTGTTTATGACAGGCACATGTAAAGTCACTGTTCTTGTAACAACAGGAGCAAACTGGTGCCATTTAGAAAGTGACTGTTCTGAATAGTATATGAAATGCAAAACCACTGAATCATAAAGCACATGCAGGATTGTAAACTGCTATGGAAACATTTCTGTGCCCATTTACATTTACACTTTCTAAAATATACAGAGGCCATCAAATGGTACTGACTTAAATGTTGGGAAAGATGTCTTCTTAAATCCTACTCTTACAGCTAAACAACGCATACTCTCTCCCTCCACCTTCGAAGAGCCTAAATGAACTGGAATATCCTCCTCTGAGGAGATAAATATTGAAGGAGTCCTTGGAGAAAGACCTGGGAACCCTGTAAGAATAAAGCAGAAAGCAGTGCTGAGTGATCTCCAAGGCTAATGAACTTAGGTTCCTGGCATTGTTGATCCATCTAGCAATAGTAATAAATTCTTTTATGACCAGAGTCATCAGTAATAGTTAACAATATGACAGATCTAAACTAATAGTGAGCTTTTTGTTTTGTTTTGTTTTGTTTTGTTTTAGAGAAGAAACAAATAGGTTTGGGTCTATAACTCAGTGATAGAACACTTGCCTACATATATAAAGCTCAGGGTGCCATTCCCAGTACCAAACAATAGCAATAATATTCAGCATAGTTAAGGAGGAAAGCACTTGGGCTTCTTTACTTATTTTTATTTTATCTATTTATTTATTTGTTTATTTTGGTTGTTGGACTGAGTTGGCCAGTACTCTTGTTTATTCACTGAGTAACTGTTTGGCTGTTTTGAACAATTCATTTAAGAGCTGTAGTTATGTGCTGGTTCATTTGAGTGTGAATAATTTTTATTAAGTTTTCATTTGTTTGTCTGAAATCACTAAACCACATAGGGACACAGAATTACATCTAACAGACTTTCTAACTTGTCTTCTATCATTGACCATAAGATGTATCATTCAAAAGTCAGTGCCTGGGGACCTCAGTACAGAAGATCTTGGGTTTAAAAGCCCTAGTTCTTTCCAGAAAAGTGATTTTATTGAAAAGGGTTAAAATACATGGAGAAGCCAGGGAAAAAGCGTTATAGAAGAAGCAGTCAGGAGGATGTGCTATAAAGAACTCTTGGACTTTGCAAAATATCCTGGCTTTCAGTTTCTTCACACTTAGAAGGTAATTATGTGGTTTTCAGAAGAGCCTTTGTGTTCTGTGGACCCCATGGTTTTCAACGAAGCAAAGCAGAGACACAGGACCAAGAACAGAAAGGAAGTTGAAGAAACCAATGTACTTGGGGTTACCATTCATAGTTCAGACAGAACAAGGTGTGTGCCTAAGATTATGAAAGCCAAGAAACAAGAAGACAGAGACAAAATCTAAAAGACAGGCTCTAAGGATATAGTATTCTTTGAAAAATCTAATTATCTGGAAAGGCCCAAGAAATGAGGTTCACATTTCCCAAACCTGGCTCTTGTTCTTTTGATTGGTTTGGAAACAGGGTCACATGTAGCCCAGGCTGACCTATAATTCCCTCTGTAGCCAAGAGGAACGTAAGCTCCGGATTCTCCTGCCATTACCTCCCAAAGCTAGGGTTATCAAAGCAAGCAGCACCATATCTGCCCTCCAGCTGTAATTCTGCACTGTATTATCATAGAATTTTTCTGTGAGCATGTTGGCTACTATGCAGATGTGTATGTGGCAAATTAGAGAAGTTACCCAGAGCTGCCTTAGCTGACCTTTCTTATTTACCTCCTTTAGTGGGTTGTTTTATTAGTCAAGAGGAGCTGACTTAGCACTTTGTGTAGAATCCATTCCATAACACAGGTATTAACCTGCTGATGGCTTACTAAGAGGTGCATCCACACAGTGTTATAGGCTGTGGTTAGCATTTATGAACCCCAAGTCCAATCCCCAGTACTAAAGAAAGAGAAGAAGAAAAGAAGGATCATTCTGTGACCAGCAAAGCCTAGGCATCAGAGAGTCCTATTCCCAGAGCCTTGACCACTGTTCTGGGAGAAATTTTGTTCTCATCATTTGTATATTTTTCTTAGATTGTGTATGCATTTTATGCCCTAAAAATCCTAGATGGGCCCTTGAGCATGTCTAGTTATCATTTTCTTTCTTGGTAAGTAAGGATGCCTACCTAGGCATTTGATGCCATTTCTGAAGGTAAACACACTATAAACTCGAAATAGAAAATCCGTGAGTCAAATTTTGAAGACAATGTGACTCCCCCAGCAGATGGTGTGTCATCAGAAGACACTATACAAGCTAAGGCAAAGCACAAGGGCCTTAGCTCTGTACAAAATACAAAAATGTGATTGAAGTCATAGAGGCTGTTGATGATGTAGTGTGTTAATAACTCAGTTCTCAATAAGCAGGCAAGTCTCTGCTTTCTTAGGTTTGAGGATGAGGAAGTTTCAGTAAAATGTGAAAGTAATGCCTTAGTTGATGGTTTGTGGTATGAGAACTGGCAAGCTGCTGGCCTGGGAAGCACTCTTACAGTTTAACAGATCCATTCAGAAGCAGAAAGAATGTATGCAGTCAAAAAATAAAATAAAATATAACTAGGAAAAACAACAACAAAACCTCCACTGGTGTTCATTTGTGTGTCAATAATACTCAGTGATCTCTGCCAGCCCCCTACTGTTTCAGAAATGTCAAAAATGCTGAAGGTATTTAAAAAAAAAAAAAAAAAAGTGAAACTATACTGGTTTGGTATGATAGTGGGGAGGGGGGTGCTGCCTCTTTTCTCTGTCCTTGAGTATTTACTGCCAGGATATCCTGACTAACACTGATTGCCAAGGGGTTAAAGTCACATTGTTGTTAAATTGGGAGAGAAAATTAGCAGGATTTGGTGCCCTATGTTCAGCTATCCCAGAGTTTCAAAAACAGGAACCTGGGGCTTTATATGAGGGGCAGGGGAAGTCAAGGAGAATCACAAGGGTGATGGACCAGGGCAGAGTTCCAGACAAACCACTTACTTGGAGGTGAAAGAAGCTGATGCTTATGATCTACCAAGAACCCACATGACTATGCAGAAGCTCACCCAAAAGCTGAAGGGGCAACTCTGGGTACAGTCTTCCCGGGTGTGAAGAGTTAGTTTACTGTCTTGATTCTGTGCTTGTGTTTTCCGTCCTGGGAATGGAACTCAGAGCCTTGAACAGTCTAGGAAAGTACTGTAGTGGGAACCATATGCCCAGCTGAGGTAATGACTTTGTGTTCATCTTATCTGTAGTCCAACATGTTTGGTTGAAGTTCTTTCTTTGTTGCCCACATTCATATTCTCATGAGAATAAAGAAAGTCAAGGGGCTTTAACTAGGGATGTGACATTCTTGGAACCCTGTACTTAATCCTCAGTAAAGCATGAGCCAAGTTTAGTAGTGCCTGTTTAATCCCAGCACTCGGGAAGTGGAGGCAGGAGGATCAAAAGCTCAAGATCATCATTTGGTACATATCAAGTGTAAGGCCAGCTAGGTATATGAGAGGTTCTCTAAAAATGTTTAAGTCATTTGCATTTTGTTACTACAAATTATAACACACTATAAAGAGCCTGGAACACCAATTGTGGAGGAGGCAGGGAGAAGGGAAACATTTCTTCTAAGTTCTGCAAAAATCATCTTCATCCATTCAAATTTTTCTGAAACATGGTTAGAATCTGACCAGAATTCAGGAATAACTGTACATTTTAATTGATATAATTAACTGTGCCTTTCTTTATCCTCTCTTACTAATGATTCCAATTGTGAAGACTTGGGGTAAACAGAAGCAGGATGTCTGAGAAACAGTGAGCATAATTTGCTCCTGATTGTCTTGAAGAATGAAAGGCAGCAAGCACACTGCCTCTGAGTCCTGAGTCTCTCCTCTCTGAGGTGTGATGAGTGTTGTGGTTGAAATGAATTGAGGGCATTAGTATTTCTAGAACAACAACTCTGAAGAGTTTGTACAATGTGTGTATTAGGAAATCTACTCAGCTACTCAGGGTCTAGGAGTCCTCAGTGTGGAATAGAATGAGCTTGGTGAAAACCAGAGACTCTTTCTTACCTGCAAGAGTTCATAATCAAACCTCTAGCCAGTACATCTTGAAGCTGGTTACCGTTGTCACCTATGCACCCTCCCCCAGCCCTGCCATTTAGGAAAGCTTTCAGAACCTCTGCTAAAAAGAAATTACTTTTAGTACATCAGAGAGTTTGTGATCATATGTTACATATGGCACGCACACACGCGCACACACACACACACACACACACACACACACACACACACACACTACCACCATACACACTAGAAATATAACTAGAATCCCCTCTAGGAAAGAAATAGAAACCTCCAATTTTGTCAACTCCCCAGCTATGCCAAATGTTTTTAATCTCAGTGCCATTTGAGTGCCTAGATAGTCAGGGATACACAGAGAAATCCTGTCTCAACAACAACAACAACAACAAACCTTGAGACTTTAGAAGGGTAAATGACTTTCCCTAAGTCATATAATTAACTAGCCCTCACACAGCAGCTGACAAAGCTCACAATCATCTGTAACCCTAGTTCTGAGGGATCTGACATAGTGTTCAGACATATGCAAGCACCCATAAAAATAAGATAAAAACAAATCTTTGTTGGAGGAGGGGAATTAACCATAGAACCAAAGCCAGGACTCAATAATCTTGGTTTTTATTTCAGTGCTCAAATATATATTTAATAAGATTGAGGTTAGCTCTTTCTAGGGTCCTGTGCATGAGTAAGTACAAATGTTCCTTCTTCCTAGCTGCTTAACCTTGAGACTTTCATAATGACCATAAGCCTTTGGCTGTTCTATACAAAGGATTAGAGAGGAGAGTGTCATGACTAACAGCAGTTGCTTCTAAAAGCTGCATGTTGCAAACTTGAGTAATTGGCGTATTCATTTTATTTGTTAGTTGATCCTTAAGAACAGATACACTAAATTGAAGTTCAGGGCTGAGGCTGAAGCTTAGTGATAGAGGATTTGCTTAACATACGTGGGGTTCTGTGGTTAAATTTTCAAAACTACAAAAACTAAAAAGCTAAAAAGCATTTTTATTTTACTATTTTTTGCAGTGTTTTACCCACAAGGCCTTCTACAGCTGCTTTTTTCTGAAACAGATGGCTTCCAGAGCATTAAAAAAAGAAAGAAAGAAATAGACATTTTCTTGGCTCAATATTTTTAATCTGCTTTGAGTGAATTTTTATAGTGAAATATATTTTATATGTATACTGTGTTTCCTTTGTGGTCTGAGTAAATTTAATCTAAAGCTGCAAGATTAGTTTATGTTCAAGGGTTTTTTTTTTTTCCTGTTATAAGTTGCTTTAACTATTTTTGTTTGTTTTTAAGACTAATTGTGTATTCTCTTGAAATTCAAGAGAAACAACATACTTTTTGTCATTTTAAAAATCTAACAAGTCAAACTATTAGCCAGTCCTAGGGTAACATAGTAGTGGTGTAATTTGAAGGAAAAGAGGAGCAGAGTTTATGGAATGTTTGGCCAGACCAGATCATAACAATGAATAGGAAGAGCCCTTTCTCCTGATTAAGCCCCTTCAGCTTTCAGGTTTTTTTTTTTTTTTTTTTTTTTTTTTTTTTTTAGCAAAGTAATACATGTATAGTCTTTGGAACTAGGGTGGTGGTCTCCTAGAACAAGGAATCACCAACTCAGCCACTTTCCCCTTTTTCATTTGCAGCCATTTGTCATCTACGACATGAATTCCTTAATGATGGGAGAAGATAAAATCAAGTTCAAACACATTACCCCCCTGCAGGAGCAGAGCAAAGAGGTGGCCATCCGCATTTTCCAAGGGTGCCAGTTTCGATCTGTGGAAGCTGTTCAAGAGATCACAGAATATGCTAAAAATATCCCTGGTTTCATTAACCTTGACTTAAACGACCAAGTGACTCTTCTCAAGTATGGTGTCCATGAAATCATCTATACGATGCTGGCCTCTCTGATGAATAAAGATGGAGTTCTCATATCAGAGGGCCAAGGATTCATGACCAGGGAGTTTCTCAAAAGCCTGCGGAAGCCCTTTGGTGACTTTATGGAGCCCAAGTTTGAGTTTGCTGTGAAGTTCAATGCACTGGAATTAGATGACAGTGACTTGGCCATATTTATAGCTGTCATTATTCTCAGTGGAGGTAAGATCCATCTTTTTATTTTGATTTAGAGGAAGGTGGGATGGTGGTGGGGTTGCATTTCCTCAGTGTTCTGTGTTCCTTTTTATTGGCTGTGCTTGTGCGGAACATGCCAGTGGCACAGTGCCATGAGCGTGTCACTCCCCTAGCTGAACACCATTGGCTTTCAGAGTGAAGGTGTGGGGATCCAGGCTCCTTACTTTTATTGTCACATTAAGAATCCAATCATGAAGGACAAATGTCTTTTCTTTTTCCATGTTCTTTTTCTTTGTCTTTCCCCTTTCCTTCCCAAAAGGCCAATTGGTCTTCAATTCATTTTAGAAATGACTCATGTAACTTTGATGATGCTGTAGTATAGGGCAGGCAACTCTGTGTGATCTTGGCCCAGTTAATGCTCCCACCCAACCTTCCCTGCATCAGGAGTCAGGGAATGTGTATATGCTAAACTCCACCTTCTCTCTCATGTGGCTTCTTCTTGTTGTTGTGGCTTCCCTTTTGTTCCTTTGTAAGGCACTTGGGTGTGATTATCAATACAGTGTGAACCAAGAGCATACCACAGAGAAAGAAATTGAGCTACTTGGAAATTTGTCAAAAATTTTGGCCTTGCATATACATAATCTAACTAATCAACTCCAAAAACCATGTTTTATACCAAATGTTACTTTCGATGGTCTCTCTCTTATTTCCAAGTAAGCAGAACTTTCTGCTTTCATCTCTACCTATAAAAATTGCTGAGCTAGGTGTAATGGTATACACTTAGAGTCCCAGTGTTAAGGAAACTGAGGCAAGAGGATCTTGAGTTGATGGCCAGCTTGGGCTACATAGTCTTAAAACAAACAAAGCTTTGATTTTTAAATGGTGAGTTCTTATATTAGAATTGACTTTAGGTGTACTTTCTGTGTGAAGTGTGCAGCAACCTACTTGTGAAAACTCACCTGTAGGGAAGGGGAATCTGTAGGTGTAAAGGTGTGTTATTGCTTCATATAAAAAGCATGATCCAATGCTTAGTCATGTGTGATTGAGAGCAGATGCTTTCTAGTAAGGTGCACGGTGATTACCAAGGGCTGTAAGAGCCAACACCAAGGAGGAACCTCTAATGGCAGACAGCATTCTGAGCACTTCCTACACAAATCCTCACAGCAGCTCAGTGAGGTGAGTATCATTTGCTTAAGGGAGGACAGAAGCACCGGAAGGTATGTGCCTTTGCCCACAATGACATGACCACTGTAAGATGCACCTGGGGTGCCAGTGCATGCCTTTAATCCCAGCACTCCAGAGACAGAGGCAAAGGCAGACATATCTCTATGAGTTCAAGACTGGCCTGTTCTAGAGAGCTCCAGGCCAACCAGGCAACATAGTAAGTGAACCTATCTAAAGAAAGATGGACTGGGATTGCTAGTCTGCTTGCAGAATCCATGCTCCCAGCTTCTATTCTGTGAAAGCAAAGCTGCCTCACATGAATGGGGAGCAGAGAGATAAGTAGTATGGCAAGGGCTAGTCAGTATCAAGTGGTAACTCACTTTAAAGTAATTTTGTGTTGTCTTTGTCGTTGGGGATGGAATCAAGAACTGGGCATGCAGCGACCACTACCCAGGCACAGCACACCCACAGATACTAAATCAACATGTTTTTGGAGTTGAGTAGTTGAGTTTTAGGAATTTTTGTGCTGGAGATTAAACTCATGGCTTCAGGCATGTCTACCACTGAATTATACTCCCAGTCCTAAAAGCACCATTAATAACTATAAAATAGTCTACTTTTAAAGGGTCTCTGATAGACCAAATCATCTCCTTATATATTTACATTATTATTTCTCTTTGAATGACAGTAAAAACATAGAAGAGTGCTGAAAAATGTATTTCCTTATTTTGTTTACTTATTTGTTTGTTTATTTCATTGTTTAAGTTTTTGAAACAGGGTCTTGGGCTACCCTGAACTCACTATGTTGCTGAAGCTGGACTTGAACTCCTGATCCTTGGTGCTGGGATTATAGACTTGTACCAATATCTCTTTCATTGGAAAGTGTTCTAAATTTTGATTATTGAATATTCTTCTACGTAAATTTCTATATAAATCTCATTTTGTCATTGTAAATTTCAAGAAATGGAATTCATATCTATGAGAATTTTTAAGTCTTTTATTTCGTCATTGCCAGATTGCTTTCCATAATGTTTGCAGTTATATATATCCACAGTCAATAAGGGAAAAAAATATTCAAATGTCTTACTTTGTAAATAGGAAAGGTCTGAACAAGAAACTGTCATGATGGGCTAGGGGCAGGAGCTCAGTGGATGAGTGCTTTTCTGATACATGCAAAGGTTTCAAGCACCACATAAATAAAAATACACCTACACATGTGCACATATATACACATACACATATACACACATGCATACACACAAACATACATACATACACACACCATTCATTAGTTGGTCAAGAAACCACACTACAAATAATGTGCTCAGATTTGATGCTGTAGTTACTAACTCATGTTAGTTTATAAAAGTTAGAATGGCACCAGTGACAATACTCTATGTAAAGAAGTTCCTTTTGACCCTTTGCAGATTGTCTTCACAAAAGCCAGGATTCAGAGCTCATCTGATCCACACAACAATGAAAGATACCCCAAAGTAGCAGCCTGCCAGATTATTAAGATCTTTGTGAATATCTCTGAACTTCCTCAAAACAGAGGATTAGTCACTGATGTGTTCCTACATCACAAAAAGGAAAATCCTTCCCTGACCAAAGTTGACTTTTATAGATGAAGTCTAAATACAGGCAACAGACAAGAGTAAAACTGGCCCATGTTTGTAGAGCTCACAGGGACATGATTCTCTCTCCTCTTTACTCAGGAGAGCTGGTTGGGTGCAGGCCAGGTAAAAGCTACCCAACAGCCATTCCCAGTCCAAGGACTGGCTTCCAGTCCATAGATGTGTGATCAATATTCCAAGCCCTGCTTTATTAGAGAAAGACAGTTTGCAAATTAGCCTATGTTTGTTGGTTGTTTTTCCTTATTCTAAAACTCCAGGAAGAGAAAACATCATATAAACAAGAGGCTTTAATCCAGAAAACAGAATTCTGTCCCTATCCAATCTTAGCAAGCACGATTATCTCTTCAGAGCTTCAGAAGCTGTTCTTTAGCTTCTGAGCTGGAGCTTTGGCTCTAGTGAAGGCACTCAAGTGTTCAGGCTGGGGAATGATGAGGAAGCTGAGGCTATGTAAGAGAGAGGACCTGAGCTGAGTGTAGAGGGTGCTTAGAGGGACCAAAGAGGAAGATTGTAGATAGAAGCATCAATTTGACCCAACTCTGGATTTGCTGGGGAAATAAATGTTGCTACCCACTAAACAGTGCTGACCCTGTTGATCTGGGTCTTAGATTTGAACTGTGTTTACCAACTTCTCCTGTACTCAGCTCTTGCAACCAGTTTGCTGAGAGAGATGACCTAGTTCTCAAAGTCTTCTTGTCTCTCCCCTCTGAGCTGGAGTAAGAAATGGAATAAAAAGAACAGAAGTGCTTCAGAGCCAAGGCTTAGCACTTCTTAACAGCGGTCCATAGTCTTCCATGGGTCCCAACAGGGCACCCATGAGTCTATTCTCACTTCACAGGCAGACAAATTAGGGCCCTGGACTCAGATTTGTAAAAGATCTGATGCCTATTTAATAGTAGTAGGACTGGGCTAAAAGCCAAATGTCCTGTCACGGTGGTAGCCCTGTCCCCTCTCCTTCCTTACTTTCTGCAGCTGGCAGCTGCAGCCTACACTCCCACCCACACGTTCCTTCCTTAAGGCTTAACCTGGAAGCCAGGGGAGCACTTCCTTGTAATCCCAGCAAATAATAGCTTCCGTTGCACCCTCTAGTCTTACTGCTGGGGTAGGTGGTGTTGAGAGTAATAAAATTGAGTCCAGCAAGGAGATGTTTGCAACTGGCGCCATAGACCCATGCCAGCCTCGCTAGCAAGCTTTCAAGCCCTGCTCCATGGCCAATGCCAAGTGTGAAGCTCAGGGAATCTGGCAAACTCCAGGACACTCCACTGGACACTTTGGCCCTTGAGTGTGTGCTGTGTGGTAAAGAAAAGCTTAGGAGGGTCCAGCTGGAACTCTCCAACAGGAAAAAGCCCTTGTTAATTCAGAACAGCTTGGAATCCATTCCGATTCATCCTAAACTTTTAAGATATGAGGGAGGAAATTCACTGGATTTTACAATGTATTTTTCAAGGCAAATTGCCACTGCAGTCTGAGTGACAGAGAAACAGCAACTATCCCTACATGTAGCAGCAATAGACAGCGAGTCATCAACTTCCTTACTTACTCTCTAGAGTCTGGTTTGTGCCAACCACCTACAGGGTGTCCCCTGCTCTTTCTAGCAGACCCCACAATGTTCCTTCTTCAAAGCAGCTCTGGATGGCTGTTCTTGGAGTGACTGGCTATTGAGTGGGTAGAAGGTGGTTACGTTCCCTTAGTTATACTTTTGCCCATGAAAAAAACTTGATACTGTTTGTCAATTTAACCTTGTTCTGTCAAGTCAATAACTTGATGTCCCATGCCTTTATCATGGACCATGGCTGGTGGGTACACTTTTTAATTTATTGGACTTAAAACAGAGTCAAAGTACATTGCCTAGAATAAGTTGAAAGATGCTTGTAATAAGAAAAACAACAACGGTAACACCCATTTGTTGAATATCCCAGAGATCCAGAACATGTGCTCTAGTCTTAAACTTTTATCTGACTTTGCTAGAGCTCTGTGTATCCTATACCCCAGTTTATTGATGGAGAAAATGGAACTTCAGAGAAAACAAGTTACTTGCCTCTAGTCACAGAGCTACTAATTATTAAGGCGAGGGATGTAGCGCAGTGACAGAACCCACACTGAGCATGTGCAGACCTTGGTTCAAACCTCAGCTCTGCAAACATCATCATCTTCATCATCATCATGTACTTCTCTATGAAATTCTGTTGCCTTTTGACTAATTAAGATGAAGAAGGCTCTTAGTTGTCTTGA